ATCCTAACTTCTCAACCAATCTATTCTCCTCAACCAATCTCTCACCTTTCTAATTTTTTCATCATCATCATCAAACAACAAAACCCACAAACAAAAAAAAAAAGAGGAAAATTTTTCCAATTTTTTCCAACCCAGCACCTAGATTCTTTCTAACCCTCAACTGGGTACCCAGGTGCTGGGTTCGATCTATTCATCTCAACCAATCTCTTTTTTTTTTTTTTTTGCCTTACCATCTCAGCCAATAAATTACCTGACTAGTTTTTTCATCATCATCAAACAAAACCCACAAACAAAAAAAAGAAAGTTTTTCTAATTTTTTACCACTGGTTTCGATGGAACCCAGGGATCAGTCATCTCAACCAATCTCTTACCTTGCTAGTTTCTTCATCATCATCAAACAAAACCCACAAACAAAAAAAAGAAATTTTTTCTAATTTTTTGCTACTGGGTTCCTTCGAACCCAACGCCTACTGGGCTCGGTTTTGAGGGCAGAGAGAAAATGAAAGAAAAGAAAAAAATATATAAGAAAGAATTTTTATTTTTTTATCAGATTATTATTTTTTTCCACATCATTATTTTGTTGTCATGTTGTATTTTCACGTGTTTTAAAAATTGACATATCATCATGTAACAGTAAATTAACATGACACATCACAAGATTTTTAACAAAAGGACCAAATTGGGGTTAAAATGGTAAATAGTAGGAACTAAATCATGGATTTTTTTAGTTCAGGGACCAAAATGGGGTTTTAAGCTTTTTTTTTTTTACATTTTTACATTTTTTGCCTTTTTCTTTAATTTCTATATTTCTATTTATTTAATTAATAGATAATATAATAATTAAATTGTAAAATCTATTTAAAGTCAAATCACAATTAATGAATCAAAAATTTTAAATTAATTTAAATGTAATTTGAAATTAAATTACTGTTTCAAATTAGAGAATAATTTTAATTTAGAATCAAATCAATTTGATTTTGAAAATAAAATAAATAACTATTTTATATAATGAAATGAATGAAATTAATTTAAAATTAAAACTAATCTTAAGTAATTTTGGAAATAAAATCAATTGCTACTTTAGTTAATAAAATGAATGAAATCCTTTTAAAATTAAAATTAAATGAAATCAATTTAAAATTAAAACTAATCTCAAGCAATTTTGAAAATAAAATCAATACAAGGAAAAAATAATTTTATAATTAATACGATACTAATATTTTAGATACCAATTAAATAAAATATGTTATGTATTTTAGTAAATTTAATGAATGAAATTAATTTCAAG